ATTCCTTCTTGCATTTCATGTGTTCATGTCTGGGGTAAGTTTTCTTTACCTTCTTGGTGCACATCCATTCAAAATTTCTTTAGGGAAGAGTCTGTTGGTGTTAAACTCAGTTTTCACTTATTTGAAAATGTCTTCTTTTTTAACCTTTGTTCTTGAAAATAATAATTTTTTTGCTGTGTATACAATTCTTTGTTTATAGATTTTTTTTTCCTTTCTTTTGGCACTTTGGATCATTCCAATGTCTTCTGGTTTCCACTATGGCTGTGAAGTGCGCTACTGGTTTAGTTGTGTTCCTTTGTAGATGATCCACGTTTTCTTGTTAGCCTTTGAGGTTGTTACTTTGTCTTCATTGTTCTGTAGTTTCACTGAAATGTATCTAGATGTGGATTTCTTTATATTTATCCTTCCTGCCATAAATTGTGCTTCCTATATTTGTGGATTCCTGTCTTTCAACAATTCTTGAAAATTCTCATTTTCTCCTCAAATATTGCCTTGTGCTCATTTTTTTCCCTTCTCTCCTCATGGAAATCCAATTTGATAATTGTTTGACCTCCTCATTCTTTGCCTCTTAATTTTTCTATCTGCTTTGTCTCTCTTTCCTGTATTCTGGAGAATTTCTTCAGATCTAACTTTTAATACACTATTTCTCTCTTCAGCTGTATCTTCTGTTTAACCAAGCATTGCAATTTTAATTTTGATGGCTATACACAGTTTTTTATTTCTTGATATTCTATTTTTTTCCTAAACCTATCAGGGTATTTTTTATAATTTCTTAGTCCTTGCTCATTTTTCTATTCCATCTTTTATTTCCTTAAACATTTGACAATAGCTTCTTTTGAGTCTTCATCTGATTATTCCAAACTCTGAAGCCCTTAAAGATCTAAACCTGTTGATTATAGTTCCTGCAGATTCTCCCTCATGGTGATTTGAATCTTTATATATTTAGTAAATTTTTTTGTGTGTGTGAGTAAGATCAGCTCTGACCTAACATCTGTGCCAATCCTCCTCTTTTTGCTGAGGAAGACTGGCCCTGAGCTAACATCCGTGCCCATCTTCCTCCACTTTATGTGGGATGCCACCACAGCATGGTCTGACAAGCAGTGCATCGGTGTGCGCCTGGGATCCAAACCCGGGCCGCCAGCAGTGGAGCGCGTGCACTTAACCGCTACACCACGGGCCGGCCCCAGTAAATTTTTTTGTGAGTTTATATTTGCCTGAATTTGATCCAGAAACTTGGATTAAGGATGCTTTCTTCTAAGGAGGATTCAGTTTGCTTCTGCTGGACTCCAGGGGGCATTAATAATCTGGGGCCATTTAAATCTTTCAACTTATGGTTTATTTGATCAAAAGGAAAGTAAAAATTCCAACTACAGATCCGTGTGAGAGCAGATCTCACAGGGAAACTAACATTTTCATTAATTTTAACATCTAGCGCTGCAGCCTAGACAGGTTCCCTTGCAGGTTCCCTCCACAAGCAGGTGGACTTTTTCCTTTCCACAAAAAATGAGGCCCCTTTGAGGGCCCCAGCTTGTCAGGGAATAGGCGTGTCTCATATTTAGCTCCTCCATCTTCCTAGGCCCTAGGGCCTACTCTTTGGTTCTCCCTTAATCTCCCATACCCTCTACCCAGTCCCCAAAGCTCTAGGTTTCTAATTAGTTGACCTCTCTATTTACCTTCTTTTTTTACATTTTTCTATTTTGTTGGTTTCAGGGGGACGCCCTTAGGAGATTACCTTTATTTTATTGGGAGCTCACTAACAAATTTAAAAATACATGTTTATTGTGATTTATATAGCGTTTAGGTATTCTGCTATGGGAGGCTTTTGAGCTCTCTGTCACACTCCTGGAAGAGAATTTTTAAAACAAACAAAAAATATGATTATATGGGACATACTGTTTTATAATCTGTTTTTTTTCCCACTTGATATATGATAAACACCTGTCATATTAATAAATATAGGTCTAAGTCATCATTTTAATGGCTACATAATCTTCCATTGCATAATTTTTTCAGTCTTTTTCCTATGATTGAATAGCCAGGGTTTTATTTTTTCACTATTTTATTTATTAATATTTTTTTGTGAGGAAGATCAGCCCTGAGCTAACATCCACGCCAATCCTCCTCTTTTTGTTGAGAAAGACTGGCCCTGGGCTAACATCCATGCCCATATTCCCTCACTTTATATGGGACGCCGCCACAGCATGGCCTGACAAGCGGTGCGTCGGTGGGCGCCCGGGATCAGAACCCGGGCCACCAGCAGCGGAGTGCGCACACTTAACCTCTATGCCACAGGGCCGGCCCCATTATTTTTTCACTATTTTCAACAACACTTCAGTGAATATCCTTATAACTAAATCTTTGCACATATCACAATCTTCTCTTCTTAACTGTTTATAAAAGTAATACATGCTAATATAAAATAATCAAACACTATGGAACATGAAAATCCTCCATAATCCTTTTTACTGTCACCTCAATTATTACCATTTGGTCTATAATTGGAATCTCTTAATCAAACAAGAGATGAGAATTAGTTAGGGCTAGAATACGCAAGAAGAGAGACACACCCTCTGTCCCCCAACCCCGACAGCTAGGGAGAAGGAACCAGAGCAGGTCCTAGGGATGGGCTGAAAGTAACCAAAGACAGTTGGGAGCAGAGAACTGAAGGGATGAGAGACACCCAAATAGACTCCAAAAGCCTGTGACACCTGGGGTCACAGGGAAGGCCAGAGCTCCAAAATCCAGGAATCAACTCTGCCTTACCAGTCCCCTCCTGCAGAAGCAGAGGATCTTGTCAGGCACTCACTCCAGGCTCCTCTCCCTGCCCTTCCTTCTTCTAAAGGCGCTTGGTCTATTTTGAGTCAAAAAATAGTACAGGCTCTGACACTAGCCGCAACCCTATGCTTATAGTAGCTGACCCCTGTCCCAATCTAAAGAAATCCAGCCATAAAAAGGCCTTTAAACACCCTTCTCTCTCCTGTCTGCCTGTTCCCCTCAAGTGGAGACTAGGGTCTTCTCCCAAAGAGAATCATGAAAGGAATGGCTGCCCCCTCTGATGGCTCTTAGCTCCTGACTAGACTTTTTGAGGACTGCCATTGTATTCTGTGAGATACGCCATATCTCTAGAGTCAAGTCTACTTCAGACAGATTCTGTCAACTGTGCAGGTGCAGTGAGAACCCCCAAACCATAAAGAAGCCCAACCTCCTCTTTCCTCCCAATGAGCACGGAGCTCCAGCTGGGGTGATCAGCGTCTTAAGGAAGCTCCGAAAGTTTTGCTCGTTCCTTTATTAATTCAATTCAACAAATATTTATTGGTATCACCCACATACTGGCTTTTAAGGAGACTACAGTCTAAGAATTATAGCTTGGACTGATTCCACCAGAATTCACGGTGTGGATCCTGGAGTTCTCAGGTGCTCTAGAAACCACAGTTAACTGCTGGCCACTTTTGCTCCAACCAGCAGAGCCCGTGGACCACTGGACAGAATGAAAAGTGCATACCAAGGCGAGCACCTTCCAGTGAAAGCTGGCACACGACCTGTAGGGTTGGGTCTCCTCGTGAAAGACTGAGCGTCTAGGGGTGGCCGTATCTAGTTCCCACAACCTCCAGCCATGGTCAGGCTTTGGGCACGTAAAATATGGACACCTTTTGTCTACCCTAAATCCTTAAGGCTCCCCAAGCTCCTGAGTTCTTTTTTTTCTTTTTTAATTTTTTTTTTAATTTTTTTATTATTTATTTTTTTATTTTTTTCCCCCAAAGCCCCAGTAGATAGTTGTATGTCATAGTTGCAGAGCCTTCTAGTTGTTGTATGTGGGACGTGGCCTCAGCATGGCCGGAGAAGCGGTGCGTCGGTGCGCGCCCGGGATCCGAACCCGGGCCGCCAGCAGCGGAGCGCGCGCACTTAACCGCTGAGCCATGGGGCCGGCCCTCCTGAGTTCTTAAAGGCCCTTGTCCAGAGCATATGCCTGTCGGGAACGTGTATTAACCAGGGCATTTGCATGGAGGAGTTGGCACGCTGGGAGAGGGCAGGGAGGCGCTGAGGTGTTTCGACTGCAGTGTACACCACAATGTCAGCAGCCCTCTAGCTGAGCTAGTTCATCTGACCACAATGCCCTGGGAGTAGGTCTTGGTCTTGCCAGCAGGCAAGTCACTACCAATGCCAGGGGCTTGCCAGCAAGAGCAGCTGTCAGGGACTGGGCAGGAATACACACAGGGACCCTTCACTACACTGTTGGATGCGTCACACCGTCCTCAGCCCCCTCACGACCAGCTGAGTGGTACAGCCCTGAAGCCTGTGTGAGAATAGGAAAACTCGATGATTCAGAGCCAGACTCTGAAGTCAATTCATACTGGCTTAGGCAGGATACTTAAACTATCAGTGCCTCCATTTCCTCATCTGTGAAGAATAAAAACAGTACCAATCCCCTTAGGGTTGATGTGAGAAGTAAATAAGCTAATATACGTACCTGGCACATGGCAGGCTTATAGAAGTGTTGGCTATGATCTTAGGGCAGCTATAGGAGAGCTGAGCCCTAGGACCACAAAATCCTCCTCAGCACCATCCCCTCCCCCCCCACCCAGGCCTGGCGGGTGGTGGAGCTGGGAATCCTGTGGGAGAAGGGAGAAACACTGACTATAGGAGTGAGGTGATTGTGCGTTCCTGGAAGGTGAGGACTCCTTCCGTGGTACCCCAAATGCCCAATGACACCTAACCTGGCCGAGGCACACAGCAAGTGCTCAAGGAAACACTGGTTAAAAGAAAGAAGCACTAGCTTCCGTTTTACACTACCCCCTCCCGCTACTGGGGCGGGACCATAGAGGCGCCTGTCGGAGAAGGAAGTTATTAACTCACTCGGTGCAGGCACATCGACCCGGGAAGCGGAACCGTGCAGTGGCCTAGAGATTGACCCCTCTCCCGAGCCCCACCCCCTCTCTGCCACAAATCCCGTTCCCAGAAGTCACTCCATCCTCATGGGCTCGAAACTTCCAGAAGCCCCTCACCCTTCCAGCCTGATGTCTTGCGTCAAGTTGTGGTGAGTGGAGAGTGGGAGGCCAGGAGACAACTGACAGTGCCAAGTCCCCGGAATCATGGGGCCAGGCGGGGGTGGGGGTGTGCAGGGGGCAGCGTGGACTTGGGGCCATGGCCAGCTGGTGGACGAGGCTCTCTCTCTCAGGCCTAGCGGAGCCCCAGCCTCCCTGGTGCCCATCGAGGAATTGGAGAACCCGAAGTTGGTTGGCAAAGGCGGGTTTGGCACCGTGTTCCGGGTGCAACACAGGTCGTGGGGTCATGATGTGGCAGTCAAGATCGTGAACTCGTGAGTGACCCAAGCTTCTTTAGAGCCAGTTGGTGTCTGGCCAAGGAGGTGGGGCCTGAATGGGAAAGGGAGGGGTCTTCCCAGGAGCAGAGCCAACTCCATCTCTGTCCTGGGGTGTAGGGAGGCGATATCCAGGGAGGTGAAGGCCATGGCAAATCTGCGTAACCAGTACGTCCTGCTCCTGCTGGGGGTCACTGAGAAGCTGGAGTGGGACTACGTGTCCGGGCCAGCTCTGGTGACTCGATTCATGGAGAATGGGTCCCTGGCAGGGCTGCTGCAGCCCCAGTGCCCTCGGCCCTGGCCGCTCCTCTGCCGCCTGCTGCAGGAGTTGGTGCTCGGGATGTGTTACCTGCACAGCCAGAACCCCGTCCTTCTGCACCGAGACCTCAAGCCTTCCAATGTCCTGCTGGACTCAGAGCTGCATGTCCAGGTCAGCCCATCCACACCCTAGCCCAGCCTTTGGACAAAGTCTTGCTCCTGAGCTGCTCCAGCCCTTCCCCCCCTTAATGGGACACAGGACCTGCTGCAGCTCTGGCTACTGAATAGCCTCAGCATCTCCCTCTGGACACAGGGCTGCCCAAGTGTCACTCAGGAGCTTTATCTCTGCCATACCAGGTGATAGAGGCCCTGACCGACACAGTCAGTTCCACAGGCCCACCCCACCAGGCCCTCCAGAGACCCATGACTAACTTAGCCCAGCAGACTCAGACCTTGACCCAGCCCTATGGAGAGGGGACCCAGACTTCCAATCCAAGGGCCCCACTGGTCTGACCGTTCCCTAGCCTTCCATACTTTTACAAGGCTGGATCTGCATCTCCTGGCAGAGAGGGAATTCTGGAAGCTGGTTGGCACTGTCCATCCCCTACCTCCTTCTTCTTCCCTCCTTTTGCAGCTGGCAGATTTTGGCCTGTCCACGTTTCAGGGAGGCTCACAGTCAGGGGCAGGATCAGGGAAGGCAGGGGGCACCCTAGCCTACTTGGCCCCAGAACTGTTGGCTGATATAAACCAGAAGGCCTCCATGGCCAGTGATGTCTACAGGTAAGTACTCACTGCAAACACATGTCCCCAATTTCTACACCTCTCTGGGCCCTTCTAGGGGAAGGTAACGGGAGAGGAGTCTTGCCAGTAGTAGGGCCAAGCCTCAGCTTTGTGTCTTGTGCAGCTTCGGGATCCTAATGTGGGCAGTGCTAGCTGGAAGAGACCATGAGAGTAAGACTTTGGACAGACTCTGGGATCCTTAACCCCGGGTACCTCCTCTCACAAGCCCCTAACCCCCCCTCTTCCTGCTTACCTGCTCAGATTGTCCTCCTCCCTCACCTCCCCTTGGACTACACTCCTTGCCCCTTTCCATGATGGAACAGGTGGCCCCTCGTATCCTTAATATCTTCTCTGCACATCGCCCATCCCCATCCCAGTAGTGTCCCAGATATCGCTGGTGAAGGCAGCAGTGTGTGAAAGGAAGGTCCGGCCCCCCTTGACTGAGCTGCCCAAGCCCGGCCCTGAGACTCCTGGCTTGGAGGGACTGAAGGAGTTAATGCAGCACTGCTGGAGCCATGAGCCCAAAGACAGGCCCTCCTTCCAAGGTGAGCTGGCCATCTGGCAGCTGGGGTAGGCCTGGATCTGTCTACACGGGGCTTTTTCCTGGAAAAGAAGTTTTGCTCCCCTACCACCCACTCTGCTTTCTCTCCAGACTGCCGTCCAAAAATGAAGAAAGCTTTCCGTCGGGTGGAGGACAAGATAGAAGATGCTGTCTCCATGGTGAGTACCCAACACAACCCCCCGCCCGCTAGAAGCTGGTCAGAGATGGCAACATGGCTCCCTTGGCCACCCAATGACTCCCCTGGCCACCCAACGACTCCCCACTGACCACTGTTCTTTATGCCTTGACCCTCCTCTCCAGTTTCCCCACCCCACCCCTGAGTTCCCAGGCAACAGACTGTGGACCAAGAGACTCCTCCCTTGGCTACTCAGCTCCCCCACCTCCACACCCAACAAGCCCCCTGTCCTTGCAGGTGAAGAAGTTCATGTTTGAGCACAGGGGCAGCAACAGGACGATGTTTACCCCTGAGCCAGGCCCAAGAAAGACAGAAATGGATGGCCCTGGGCAAACCACAGGAAGCTGCAATACTGTGGCTGAGATGTTGAACAACCTGAATGTGGAGGGGTTCCCCAACTCTGTTCCTGAAAAGTGTACAAACACTCCTGAGAGGATCAGGGCACAAGGAAAGCAGGTTCAGCATGACCGGACAGCAGGGACATCTGACTCAACAGCTCGACCTCCCCAAACTCCAGAGAACTCACCTTTCAGAAACCAGGTACTCAGCCCCTCCTCAGCTTGGACCCCAGGTCCTGGACCCCAAGGGAATCAGGTGAGACATTGGCAGGACTAGCGGATACACTAGGACTCCTGTGAATCCTGTCCCCTTGCCAGGGGAAACTTGGGGCTGAGGTGGTGTGCGATGGGGGAAGAGACCTCAGGACAGGGAGCCCGAGAGCACTGTGTTGTTCACAGGGGGCTGAGAGACCTGGTACCCACTGGCCTCCCAGGGCGCCGGAGCCAAGTCCAATACCAGGTATTCACTCCCACTCCTTCCTTTCCCCACCAGCTTCTTCCTCAAGACCCTAGATAGATCCAGGGTATCCAGGGGAGAGAAAGGGCTTGAGGCCATCCACCCCGACCTCCTCATTTTATAAATGAAGAAGCTGACACCCACTGGGATTGGATCCCACTGAGGTCACACAGCACAGCCTGGATCTGCCCCTGGGCCTTCTGACTTTCCCCAGCACCAACTCTGAACCCCTAAATTCCCCTGTTGCTGTGTCGGTCCTGAGGGTCTCCCAGCGGAAAAGACCCAAATATCAGGGTGCCAGACGTTAGTTGCCACTCCTCTTGAGCTTCTGCAAACCCAGTTCTGAAGGGGCAGGCTGAAGGGGAAATACTTGCAGTTCCCCAGGGTGAACACGAGGTGCCGCTGCCCCTCCGCCCTGCTGCTCTTTCTAACTGAGTTTCTGACCACTTAACCCTCCCACCACCACCTCTATTTCTCTTAAAGGGCTATCATCCCTCACCATCCGTGACTGCCAAGGAATACAGTTGGGAAACAACAACTACCTGCTTATGCAAGGAGGAACCGCCTTGTCCACGCAGGGCCCGGCACCTTGGGGCATGGGCAGGGGCTGTCAGCGCGCCCCGCCACGAGCACGTTCGAAAGAACGGCCGCCACAACCTGAAGCCTGGAGTGGACCGCAGGATCCGTACAATAATAGCAGGAATTGAGGCAGCCAGGCGAGATTTTCTTTGAGGGCCGTCTGGCCTGCACTCGAACTGACTCTGTGCCCCCACAAGTCAATAAACTAGGTGGAATTTTAACCAAAGTGCTGCGCAGGAGGCTAAGGTTTCAGCCAGGGCGGGAAGGGACATGGATGGGAGGCCAGAGAGCTGGCATTAAGGGAGGGGGAGGCACTGCAGGCTCACTGAGGTCGGAAGCGGCATGCTGAGGGCTGGGGGCGGCAGCAGCGATGCACATGAGGTCAGGGCCCAGCCGGCGGCAGGAAGGAATCCCGGAGGCCTGGCTCCTGGGGCCGCCTAATCTCAGGGTGGAGCACTTCCTCTTGAGCGGGCCAGATCCCACCCTAAACCTCAACCCTGGGGATAGAGGCTTTGTGTCCCTGTTGCCCCCCTTTTCTTCTGGGCTCCAGTGACTCGGCAATGGGGTCCCGGGGAGGGGGCTCTCCGTGGGAATTCGCACTGGAGTCCACCTTCTGCCCTGCATAATGCCCCCAGGTTCTCGGAGGTCAGCCCCATACTCTAACCTCCCTCCATCACATACAGTCGCATGTACATTGCTTCCAAAGTTGGAGACCTTTGATTCTCAGCTGGTGTCTGGGAGTGGAAGGCTAAGGCTGCACAAAGCTACACACAGACGTGCCCCCTCCCACGGAGCTGGAGACCTTGGAGCATGGACAGTTCAGACGCGGCCGCAGCGGCGGCCATCCAGGAGGGAGGGGAGGGGAATGAGCACCCTCCCCTCTCCTGACCTAGATCATAGCCCCCATCTGGCACCATGTCCTTCCCTACATTCTCGCCAGGCTTCACTCCAGCCCTCCCTCAGTCTCCCCACATCCGAGCTGTTCACCCCCATTTTGACACTTCCCACTCAGCCCGCGCCCCACCCCCTGGCATTCCTCCCGTGGTCCACATTCCCCTTCCTTGAGGGGACTGAAGGAGGAAGACAATGGTATTAGGAGATACAATCGGGGTGGGGGAGGAGGCCTGGGGAGTAGGGCACGGAAAGGGGCCGGACTGTAATCGGGGAAGTGGGAGGGGGCCGCCGCGCCGCCGGGAGGGAAGCGCCTGTCTCCCAGGGCTCTGAGCCACTGGTTCGGCGGCGAGCGTCACACCACAAGCAGCCCTCGGGCTCCCTCCCTGGGCCTAGCCCACTCAGCTGCGGCAGCATCGCGGAGTGAGTTGGGGAAAAGGGGGAACCCAGGGCTCCTTTGCTTCAACCCCAAATCCTGTCCCCCTGGTGATGAGGCTTTTGCTAGGGCACCTCGGCAGTCTGGGTTTGAGGGGGGGGGTGAATGCAATCCTTCACCGCCAACTCGGACAGGGCTGGGAGGCCACAGGTAGTGCCTGGAAGGAGATGGGATTGCCCCGGCGAGGTTGGGGGTGCGGGGTGGCAGTGGCTTGGACCAGGGGAGAGGGGCACAGTTGGGGCTGGCTGGAGCCTCAAGAGGTAACCCGGCCCCTGGCCCTCCCCAGCCCCAGGTCTGCCGCCTGCCCCCACTCTCCCCACACCCACCCTCGGGCCGGCGCAGCGCGGGAGCTCAGGGCAGGGGACGCCATGGCCCGCCTCTTCAGTCCCCGGCCGCCGCCCAGCGAAGACCTCTTCTACGAGACCTACTACAGCCTGAGCCAGCAGTACCCACTGCTGCTGCTACTGCTGGCCATCGTGCTCTGCGCGCTTCTGGCACTGCTGGCTGTCGCCTGGGCCAGCGGCAGGGTGAGCAGGCATCTGGTGCAGGGTGCCTTCTCCAGAGCAGAGGGAGGGTCACTGCCTAGGGCGCATTTTCGGGGTTAGGACTTGTGGGGTCTTCTCTTCATGTGCTTTCTTTGCTGGGACCCGGGAAAGAAGCGCTGAACCTCGCTAGGAACGAAGTGACCCTGGACAAGTCACTCCACCTCTCTGGGCCCCAGTCTCTGCGTCTACACAGGGAGGTAGCAGAGCCCTAGATGCTTCTAATTTCTGTCAGAGTACTGACAGACCTTTCGAGCTTCTGTGATCCACTGGATTTACTAGAATTAATCCAACACCGGATTTTCCAATTTTCCAGGGGGGAAATTACACTAGGCCCTGTGGGAATCCGTTTCCTGGTTTTCTTTCCCTCTTAGGGGCTGGGAGGCAGTTGTACCCACAGACTCCCAGAAGGCACCCTCCATCCTGCTCTCTTTAGTTCCCCAAATAAAGCCATTTCCAGTTTCTTTTGGGGGAGAAAAGGGGTCTTCAATTCTATTTCTGGAAATACCCTGCTCCAAGTTTTCTTTTCACTCTTCGGAGGCAAGGTGGGAAAATCATTGGACGTGACCAATCCTTGCTGGTCCACCTCGAAGTCTAGGAAGAGGTGGGGAAAAAGGGCGGGGACAGCGTTGGGACTTTTGCTCCCTGAGGCAGGTGTCGAGAGCGCGGCCCGCGGCTTCAAGGGAGATTCGGGGCGCCCCCTGCTGCCAGAGCACTGCCTCGCGGGGGTGAGGGGGTGGGGGTGTGTGAAACTTCGTGTCACGAGCCTGGGGCAGGGAATCCCCCTAGCAAATTGGCCAGATTTGGGTACAATCATTCCTGAGTGCTTCCGTGAGCTAGGATTTTTTGCTTGCTTGGGGACCCCAGGCTGGTGCTATGATTCCTGTTTGACAGATGAGAAAACAGGCTCAGAAAGGTCCTGGATTCACAAATGACCAATTCAGAGTCCGGAGCCTGGTCTCCTAGGTAGATGGCCCAAGGCTTGGGCGCCCCTGGCATGCGAGTGAGATATTCGGTTGAACCGTAGGAGATTGCTGGCTCCGGAGATTCAGAACAGATTCTCGGCTACTTCATATGGTTCAACCCACTGTGAACGGCAAGCGGAGGTCCTCTACCTCCTTCTAGTACTTGGGGTTGAGATACTTTCCAGAACCGGCCTGTGGGGCTGCCCATTATTCCTCTCCTGGTCGAGCTCCCCAAATTCCACAGTCCGATCTGGCCTCACGCGCCCCCTCCCCGCAGGAGCTGGCCTCGGACCCGGGCTTTCTGACCACTGTGCTGTGCGCCTTGGGCGGCTTCTCGCTCCTGCTAGGCTTGGCTTCCCGTGAACAGCGACTGCAGCGCTGGACGCGGCCCCTGTCGGGCCTCGTGTGGGCAGCGCTGCTCGCGCTGGGTTACGGCTTCCTGTTCACCGGGGGCGTGGTGAGCGCCTGGGACCAGGTGAGAGGGGCGGCAGGTGGAGCATGGGGGAGGGGGACGCCCGGGCCTGGAACTCACACTGAGCAGTGAGCAGCCCAGCAGGGTAAGCCTGCAGCTTCCCGCACCCCCTTCCCCCAGGTGTCCTTTTTCCTCTTTGTCATCTTCACCGTGTACGCCATGTTGCCGTTGGGCATGCGGGACGCCGCCGCCGCGGGCCTCGCCTCATCGCTCTCACACCTGCTGGTCCTTGGGCTGTATCTTGGGCCTCAGCCCCAGTCTAGGCCCGCGCTGCTGCCGCAGGTGAGCACGCACGTAGCACAGGTTGCGCCCAGGGCCGGCTCTGCTGCGCGCTACTTGGTTCGTCCAGGCATTCACCAACCATTTGCTGAGCTGTGCCTCCATGGCACGGTGCAAAGCTGGGCGCAGGGTACAAACACAGGCAAGCCTCGGCCGTGCCCTCGTGGAGCTGGTACACCAGTGCAGCGCTATGCCCGCAGATACCAGAAGAGGGCTCTGAGCGCACGGGGAAGGGAGTTTGCCAGGGGACCAGGGTGGTGGGGACAGATACGGATAAGGGAATCTTTACAGAGAATGTAAAAATTGGAGCTTGAGTAGTTTTGTGCTGCGGCAGGGGTAGGGCGTGGGGTTGGTGGAGTTGTATTCCAGGTAGAGGAAACGTATGTGCAAAGGTTTCTAGACCTAAGAGGCGGTGTTGGTGCAGTAGCCAAGAGTCTTCTGGAGCACGGGGTATGGGGGAGGAGAAGCGCCCCCTGCAGACCCCACAGTGTGGCACCGATTCCCTCGGAATACTTCCGTCTCTAACTGTAGAGTCCTCCCCAGCCCTCCTGGAGACCAACTCCTGCTACACACATAGCCACCCCCACTTCTGCCCGTATCCAGCGCCCTCTGAAGCTGACCCTCACCCACAGCTGGCAGCAAACGCGGTGCTGTTCCTGTGCGGGAACGTGGCCGGAGCGTATCACAAGGCGCTGATGGAGCGCGCGCTGCGCGCCACGTTTCGCGAGGCACTTAGTTCCCTGCACTCGCGCCGGCGGCTGGACACCGAAAAGAAGCACCAGGTCCTTGCAGCCTGGGAGGCCGGGTGGGACCGTGGCTAGAGGAGAGAGGAGGTGTTTAGCTCACACAGCCGGGCTCCTTCACTAGCTGAATAACTTTGGGCCGGTCACTTGACCTTCTGTTTCCTCTCTGGTAAAATCTGGCTGTTGCCCACCTTGGAAGGTGCGGTGAGACTCAAACTGAAGCTTGTGAAAGCACTTTAGAATGTTATGATACTAAACGAAGGACTCTAATTCCCCCGTTGGTGCTGGGAATTCAGTCCCTAAAGGTGATCAAAGCAGGATGGTGTGCTGGAGCCCGGCTGTATGTGGTGGGGAGGACCTGCGGAACACCTAGAGGGGCTGGGGAAGCATGTGGGCTCCTAGAGGTTTGGGGGGCTGGGGCTCCTGGCTTTAGGGTACAGGAGGGTTGGTGCTCATAGAGACCTCCCCCAGGAACACCTTCTCTTGTCCATCCTTCCTGCCTACTTGGCCCGAGAGATGAAGGCAGAGATCATGGCACGGCTGCAGGCTGGACAGGGGTCACGGCCAGAGAGCACCAACAACTTCCACAGCCTCTATGTCAAGAGGCACCAGGGAGTCAGGTATGAGGAAGGATGGCTGGAGGGGAGGGGCCGTGGCCTGAGACCCCACCCCCACTGACGCAGTCTGCCTTGCCCAGCGTGCTGTATGCTGACATCGTGGGCTTCACCAGGCTGGCTAGTGAGTGCTCCCCTAAGGAGTTGGTGCTCATGCTCAACGAGCTCTTTGGCAAGTTCGACCAG